AATACTATATAAATATATTTTATAAATATTTTTATATAAATAATAAATATATTTATTTTAAAAAGTGTAAATTTGTATATATAATTTTAAAAAGTCTAAAATTTATATATATATATATATATATATAGGAATACAAATAAATATATGCACACACATATGCATATATTGTCTGTGTGTGTGTTTATATATTGATATACTTTTTTCCTCTATAAAAAATTATGTCATGTTTTACATTATTGACCAAAGTTGGGAATATTGTGATATACATTTTTCTTGTACTGCCTACTACTATGTTGCTATTTATCTTTATTATGTATATGTCTATTTTTTAGAACTTGGTCATTTCTAGGATTACTATTATTATTAATTATTCAGATGAATAAGATTTTATTATAATAAAGTCCTTTTCCTAATTTCAGTAGTCTGATAATACAGTTCTATTGTTAAGTTATTAACATTTTAAGTTGTTAACATTCAGGCTATACATTTTAGATACTGGTAAAAAATGTATAGCCTGAATGCACTGTAAGCCACTTTGGATAAAAGCGTCTGCTAAATGCATAAATTATTATTATTAAAATTATTATTAATTATTAAGTTAACATTCATTTATATGTTTGTTTTTCAGGTCACGCCTCCAGTAATAAACCCACTGCTAAGTGGAACGCAGTTTCAGTGAAAGGACTGGATGAACACGGCTTTCTCTGACAGCAGATCTCATCACCAAACACTGCGGATTGTAATGTGTAGTATGCATTCAAACACAGCGTGTGTGCCAGTATCAGACTTTACATTTGCACATTTTCAAGCCAAAAGAGAACAATATTACGTAACTTTAAAGAAAATATTCCAAAACACTCTTAAGCTTAAGGATATCTGATGTGTGTGTAACTTAAGACTAACAAAACTGAAAGAATACGATTGATCGTCCAATCACAGTTTGCCCTATTTCTGAGAAAGTGCTTTAGTTGGGTTTCTGTTCACTGCTTCTGATTTTCTTAATGTTCTGATTGTTTTTGGAGGGAGGAGCTGCTAAAAGATTTGATTGTGTTTTCAGAAGGTGAAGCTGCTAAATGTGAAGCCGTTCCTGTGTTTAGTAAGAGCTGCTTTTGAGAAGCAAAATTAAGCTTAATGTTCGATGGCCTTTTTTGTCGGTTTAGGTGTGTAATATATCTTGTTTTATTATTTAGTCCCTGATCTATAATTAAAAAGGGCCACTTTACATGTTTTCACCCTTTTATCATGTTGAGCTCAGTTTTTTGACCAATGTGCACAGAAATTATAGAGAAGACACTGGAGATTGTTTTGTCATTTATATGTAAAAAGTGGAATTTGACTTTATTTGGGCACATCTAAATATGCTTGTTTTCTTTTCATATTTGGAACAATACAAGTTGTGCATTTTGTTTTTATTTGTATGATAATGTTGCTTGGCAGAACACTGAACAGTGCCTTATTTTGTATGTAAAGATGGGATAAAGGTATTTTTATCCGTAAAATGTTAACTTTTTCAATTCTTTTATAATATTGTAGCTCATTTTGGTTAAGAACTTTTAATAAACTGATTTATTTAAGCATAACATGGTTGCATAATTTATGTGAAGATTGACACTACCATTCAAAAATTTGTGGTCAGTGAGATTTTAATGTTTTTAAAAGTTGCATTTTTTTTATTATTATTAAAAATACAGTCCAAACGGTAATATAAAATATTATTATAATTTCATAACTGTTTTCTATATGAATATATTTTAAAATGTAATGTATTCCTGTGATTTATTCCAGTCTTCAGTGTCACATGATCCTTCAGAAATCATGCTGATTTGCTGCTCAAGAAACATTTCTGATTATCATTTTTAAAAACAGTTGTGTATAATATTTCTGTGGAAACCATGATACAATTTTTGAAGATTCTTTGGTGAATAAAAAGGGAACCGCATTTATTTGAATTGGAAATATTTTGTAACATTATGTCTTTACTCTCACTTATGATCAATTTAATGCTGAATAAAAGTATTAATTAAAAAAATAAAAAATCTAACTCAAAAACTCAAACTTTTGCCTCTTAGTGTTTTAAAAAAAAATAAAATGTAAAAATAAAAAAATGCCTATCAAAGTTTGTTATAAGAGCTCTATGCATACACTTTATTTTAACTGAGAGCTTCGAATATTTTTAGGGATGCATATTCAATCTCAGACACAATTATTAGCAATAATTTGCCGACAAATCAAAATGAGAGAACATTAATTTCAGATGTTATATCGGAACATTTTATTTTAAAGTAGTGATCTTTGCAGTGACATCATTTACAGTGTTAGTAGAAAAAAACTAATGCCAACTAAAAAATTATACATATTAACATCATAGCTACAAAATCTAAAAGATCCCAGTCCCATAACATACAGAGCACATACAGTAATAAATACACACAATACAAATAACACTGAGTAGCATACAGTATATTACATTTACATTATAAGACACAACAGTCCTCTGAGTTAGAGAAGATGTTTTGTGATCGCGTCACCCTTGGGCTTAGAAACAGTGAGCTGACATAGCAAACACTTGTTAATGTGAGCTGTTCTGTTTGTATTTGTTTTCTAACAGACTCTGAAGTGCATCAGCAGACAACAAACCACATGACAGCACAGTGACGTCACGATTAACACGTGCACTAAGCGAGATGTTGTGGGTGAGAGTCTGTGCAGCTGTGCCTGATCTCACATTTTAACGTGACGCACATAGCGGTGTCCCTTTCCTTTCTTACAGTCTCGTATCTGCCATTTCGTCTTCCTCCAGACCAGGACGCACCTCCTCGTTCCCTTCTTCCTGTTTTTAGGAGGGCCGTGCCTCCAGTTGGTGTAAGTGACAGGCTCTCCACTCACCCACTCCCAGCGGCCTTTACTGTCACGATCATTCAGACCTGTCATTACACAGAGAGAGCGACCAGTTCATGTTTAACCCCTTAGAGCCTACTGGCTCACACTTCAATTTGGGGTCCAATTCTCACTATTAACTATGACTTTTGCCTCAATAAACTCCTAATTTGCTGCTAATTAATAGTTTGTAAGGTAGTTGTTAAAGGGATAGTTCACCCAAAAATGAAAATTCTGTCATTAATTACTCACCCTCGTGTTGTTCCAAACCCGTAAGACCTTCGTTCATCTTCGGAACACAATTTAAGATATTTTTGATGAAATCTGAGGCCTCTCTGACCCTCCCATAGACAGCAAGGTAACTACCACGTTCAAGGTCCACAAAAGTACCAAGATGATCCACAAAGTAGTCCGTGTGACATCAGTGGTTCAACTGTAAAGATACGAAGCTACGAGAATAGTTTTTTTGCGCAAAGAAAACAAAAATATTGACTTTTTTTCCACATTTTCGTCTTTACTGCGTCACCTGTGTGGACGCGCGTTAAACAAAAATAACGACTTTATTCCACATTTTCGTCACTTGTGGATGCGCGTTCATGACAGTATGATGATGTCATTACGCCGGATCTGGGTCAGCGGCGCCACACGCTCGCGTCATGATACATGATAAAGTCGTTATTTTTGTTTTCTTTGCGCAAAAAAGTATTCTCGTAGCTTCGTATCTTTACAGTTGAACCACTGATGTAGGGATATGCCGGTATCAATTTTTCATGTTGCGATTAATTGCTAATGCTTTTATCACGGTATGCGGTATTAGCACGATATTGAAATTTAGTTTAAAAAAAGTGCTGTCATAATACAGTATAACAGGTTTAATAACTTTTTTCTTATAAAATATCTTAAATTGTGTTCCGAAGATGAACGAAAGTCTTACGAGTTTGGAACAACACGAGGGTGAGTAATTAATGACAGAATTTTCATTTTTGGGTGAACTAACCCTTTAAGTTTAGGTATCGGTTAGGATTAAGGGATCTAAAATATGGTCATGCATAATAATATGTGCTTTATAAGTACTAATAATCAGCCAATATGTTAGTAATATGCATGCTAATAAGCAACTAGTTAATAGTGAGAATTGGTCCCTAAAGTGTTACTTCCTACAGTATCATAATTGATACTCAAAGGCCTCTAAATGATTAACATGAATCTACTACATGCCTTCTGTCATCTGACTGGTAGTTTATACCATTTTTAGCTACTTTTTAGGTATAATAGTAAAAATGCTGTGAAATCTTTACTGAGTTTTATAAAGTAAGCATAAAAATAATATATATTTGTGACCCTGTGTGAAATCCAGGCTAAAATCTCAAAATCTAATTATGAGAAAACACGCGTCAAAGTTTGATTTCAACCATTCATTTCCCTATGATTTCAATCTTTGTCATGGCCTTACTCAGTCAATATTAAAGATATAAAGGTTATATTTTCACAGAATGTTCTACATCTTTATGAAGGATGATTTTATGTAGAATCACAACAAAAATGACTTTAGCTGGGTTTTCACAGGCAGGGTCACATTTTAGTAATATTTCAAGATGAACACTTACCGGACTGAAGCAACATCTTTTGAAAAATCATATTAAAATGCATCAAATAAGATCCATGCTTTCGAGGAAGGTTTATTTATTTGTTCATCTCTCACTCATTGTATTGCATTATATGTTTTGAAACTACAGAGCTTTGATCATAAAACTAGGCATTTAAATATCTTACTAAGACATTATTGGCAGATATAGAGTGACATGATATTATACAGTATGCATGTCATGTAAGTAGTCTGCAATACTGTTAGAAAGATCTCATTGATTTACATTACAAGCATCAGAATATAAATAAATATCAGCATCTGCACCAATTTTGTTTGGGCCTCTGAAAAAAAAAAAACGGAGGTGTCCTTTCTGCTTTTTGGAGCTCCGTAATCTCTAATATCACACTCTATGAGCCATAAAAGCACATATGCAAAACATATATTTTTTAAATATTTTGTCTAAAGCTTCAATAGACTGTTAACACTATAATTTCACTGACTGCATAAAATTCAGAAAAAAACAGTTACCAATCCAAAAGGGTTTTCTATCACTGAAGTCCCACAGCCAGTCCATGTCTCCTTTTGACAAAACACTGACCAGGTGTCCATTGTAGCTTGAGGGAACAATTATTTAGTATTTAGTAGTCACAGTTACTCATAACCGCTGATGTTGTGTTTATGTAGCATTTGGTCCCTCTCACCTCTCTCTGCAGGCCCGCGCCGCGGCGCTCCACGTGGCTTTGCGCTCAGTGCTCAGTATGTAACAGTAGTTGCTGTGATACGTCCATCCTCGAGGACACTTCTGTGCTTTTACAGTCTGGGTGAGTGCAGAAAAGACACCATTCAAATCATCTCATGAAATGTTGAAACTGAAGGCCCACTCTAAATATTCAGTACTGTAACATTAATGACCTCATTAGTCAGTGCCCAGGGCCCCCAGGAGCCCCCGTTACAGCGAAACAGCTGAGCCGAGCTGTCGCTCTGATGCAGAAAGCCAGTGAGCTCTGGAGTGCAGGGCTTGGGAGAAACGCAACCAAATATGCAGGTTTACTTGCAAACGATTACTGTAAATTGATCTGACACACGCTCGCACAACTCTCACCCGACTCACAACACGCGGTAAAGCTCTGGCGGTTTGCTGGGGTTTTGTCCTGTCCCCCCAGCTGGTCACCTGCACCTGAGCCTTTCTGTCAGTCCTTGAGTTGGTGTTGTCCTCTTCGACCGCCATCGATACGAGACCATGATACTGTCAGTGATTAGTAATATTAATGATATAAATAAAGTGAATTATGTGTGATTTTATGTAATGAATAGTAACAAAATTAAGATCAAAAATGGTTTTTGAACATAACACAGATATATGTAGTCCCAGCTGCTCAAATGCCATTATGTTTTTATTTGACTTACCTTGTAAATGACATCAGATCCGTGGCGAATGGTTTCAGAAGGCTGAACCTGTAGATGAAAGTTCACCATGTTATCTTGAGTGAGTAAACTTCTGAAAACATGTTTTGTTTAATTGAAATACAGCTGTACAAAATACAAAATAATGAAAAATGTATACATATAATATTTATATAATAACATTTAGATTATATAAATGTTGCCTAAATAAAAAAATGTTGCTAAATAAAAAAATAAACACTAAAAAATCTAAATGTTAATAAATACTACAAAAGCATAAATAACACTGATATATTGTGTGTTTGTGTGTGTGTGTGTGTGTGTGTGTGTGTGTGTGTGTGTATATATATATATATTGTATTGTAGATACTTGTATTGTTTATACTTTTTTTATGCAAGTAACTGTCTATAGCTGTCTTTCTCTCTCTGGATGTTTTTGTGGATGTCTCTTGTTGTTTTGTGTCACTGTGACTCTCGTGCACAGTAATACATGGCTGTGTCACTAAAATGTAACTAAAACTTTTTAAATTGTTTCTGCTAAGTAAAACAAGGCTGAAATTAAATCAAATTTAAATATAAAGATTATTTACATTTATTATTTACATTTATAAAGATTATTTTGTTTAATTGAAATATAACCTGAAGTATTGTAAACGAAAACTATTGATTTTGTTAACTGAAATAAAATAAATATAACATTAATTATTAAATATTACATGAAAGAC